TGGGAAAGAAGCTTGCTGGTCACTCCTTGTCGCTCAAACGTGTGTGCGGCTGGGTAAATGTCATCGGATGCATCGAATGACTCAATTGACTCGGTTGATTGTCACCGTGGCGCCGTCATTGCAGCGCGAGCGACAGAATGCTCTTCCGTTTACATTGTGATTCAAGCTCTCGAAGCAAAACCCGTCTCTCGTCGGAAATCACCATCGAGAATGGTTCATCTCGGTGGATGACCATTAAAATGTCTGTATTTCTCCGTTGGTTCACTCTTTCATCGGTCCGCTCTTTCACAGAGGGGTGCTTCATTTTCTGGCGGTCATTTTGAGCCACGAGTGGTCGGCCCGAATGGCTGATTTGAGTATCTTTGGGAGGGGATTGGTTTATGCGGTTCATTTTGACTATGTACAGAGTGATCGGGGCGGGGTGATTGCTTTACAGACATGATTGGTTTATACGGTGATTGCTTTAAGCGATACTTACTATAGAGCGAATCATCCCCCGATGCGCCTTGACAGAATCAAACGTCAGTGAGTTGTCTGCCATAAAGTGAGAACGAGGGGAGCTTGCCATGAATTGAATCATCGCCACAGAGCACACTCATTCCCCCCAACACCGATATGGTCTCACCGAGATGCATCCGTTCGAAGGCATCGTCCCATGGAGACCCGCCATGAGACGTGTCGCCGTCGGACCGAGCGGCTGCAGCTAGATGGAAGCGCAAATGCCACCGCCACACCTGTCGGCGACACCAACTGGCAAACTTCGATAAGAAGAGCGGAAGCATAGGCCTTGTCGTCCAATTCGCAATCTTCTGAAACGGACTTTTTCTCAGTCAAAAACGGACTTTGAGGATTGCTTGCCCTCATGGAGACCCTGAGTGAGTCAATCATCAGTCAAACACCATATTTGCACTGAGTGAGTCAATGAATGGCCAGTTTCACGTCGCTGCTTCGCTACTCATTCATTCACGTCTCTTTGACTCACTTTCATATGTATCGCACCATGAAAACAGCCCATATAGACTTTGTACAGGCAACGTATGGACGCGCTGTCTTCCCGCCGGGAAGACAGCCCGTTTACACCTCCCGTATACACACCTCAAATGGGCCCGGAGTATATGCAAGGAGTGGGTTTTGCGCCTGATCACAATAAAGATTAGTGGACAAATAAAGACGAATAAAGCCATGGCTATCCAAGGCGATGCAGCAGCACGTGCACACCAACCACCGAGAAGAATATGGACCCGCGCGTCGTGCGGATCAGTCCCGTCAACCTGCCTGCCTTTGTTCACGCATGCAGCTTTGCTGTTTGTGCGTACGTGTGCTGGCGTTCTCCCTCCCTCCCTCCCTCCCTCCTCCCTCTTGCCCTCCCGTATGTGTGGTGATGGTTGGTTGTGACGTATGCACATCATGATGTACACACGTGTGTGCTGGCGTCTCCTGTCTTTCCCTTCCTCTCTGCATATGTGCGGTCGCAAGTTGAAAGTGGTGTTCCAAATATGCACTTTTCCGCTGCTGTGCCTTTGCTTCAATGAGGAGATGAATACGTCGTGAACAGTATTCACATACGTATTCGTATGTATCTGTATGCACAAATGCCTCCCACCCACTGTGTGTGTATGTGTGCAGTGCATGTGTCGGTTGTGGCGAGTGAGGAGCCTGCAGAGGAGTCAATGCTCCTTTCAAGGACCGCTTCCCGCGGACCGCTGCACTCGCCCGCCGCGTGCTGGGGCGGCGCATCGGCAGAATGCTCTTTAACGAGCAGGACCCCTACCAGATGGACGACAACTGAGGCAGGTGGGTCGGTGGGTATATGGGTGTGTCAGGAAGGGGCAGGCAAGGGCCGCAAGGCAAGAGACGTATACCTTTGTCATTGCATACGCATGCACCTAATTCGCTTTCTTGGCAATCGGACTTTTTCTCATCTTGAAACGGACTCTTGCATGCCAGTCAACTGACGATCGAACTCATCAGCGGATGACTGACGTATACACAATGCATTCACGCAAGGAACATGAATGCGATGAGTCAGTCAGGAGGGGCCTCACACACTACCTACACCCATTTCTCGCCACACCATCTCACTCATATCACTTATCCTCAGCTTCGATATCCACGTTGTCATCACTCTTCCCTGCTGCTGCTCCTCCGCATGATGCCGCTGTCGCTGCCGCACCCCTGCCTTTCCCCTTGGTAGTGCCGCCCTTGCCCCTGGGATTTGTGTTGCCCTTCCGCTGGGCGCGGCTTGGCTGCGCACCCGTGTCGTCAATCTCCTCGTCCACCTGCCCACCGTCGTACTGCAGCATGAATGGCCAAATGGCCGACTGCTTGAGCGACGAAAGGCCGGCCAGAAACGCTCACCTGACTGACACACAAATCCCTGCGCACACACACATGCACGCATCCATCTACGCCGTGCACCCACCTCTCCCTGTGCTCCTTCCTCACCGCATTGCGTTTCGGCGCCTTGGCCTCGAGGCCCCCTTTCTTCAGCAGCACTGACTCGGAGGGAGGCTCTTGACATGCGCGGCCTCGCCTCCACGCCCTCCTGCTGCAAGAGGCTACTGGGGTGGTCTTCCTCCAGGTTGAAGAGGTGAAGAAGCTGCAGAGAGCAAGAGATATCAAAGCAGCGACAGAATGAAGGGAGGGCCATGGTTGTCTGTTTCGGTTGGCCGACTTGGTTCTCGAGGATGAGGTTGGTGAGTTTGCGATGGAGGGTGACGTAGGTGTTGCTAAGGAGAAATCCTTCTCGATGGCGGACACGCTACCATGACACCAATACACACGATCGCAACAAGACAATATCTGACACACAACAGATACACAGAAGATCCATCCGCAAACGGCCATCCACACACTTCCCGACGTACACGGCGCACCCCTTGGTCTTGCCCGGCGGCGTGTTGTTCATTGTCGCCTCGAGGGACTTGCGGTTCGATCTGGCCAGGACGCCTCGCACCTGCTAGAAGGGCAACACGTGTCCGAACCATGCCGGTCTTCCTATCAGCAAAGGCAACACACACACATACACACACACTCGATGAGCAGACATCAACAGGCGTATCGCTGACTGCCTGGTCTTCCCTGACGCCCTGCTCATCTTTTGGAGTAGAGTCAGATGCCGTGTGTCGCTGACCACGGGAAGATTGCTCATGAGGAAGGATCGACAAACTTGGCGAGTGTGTGACCGCTCGATGCACACGGGGAAGAGATACCGATCTTTCTGAAACCAAACACACAGGCAGACGAATGATCGGTCCATTTTGCCAGTCGGTCCATTTTGGCAGACGAATGATCATTTTGCTCTGCGCGTGTCGTGTGTCGTGCCTTACTTACAATGAGGACTTCGTCTTCCTGTTTCTGAGTTGCCCTGTATGTTTCTCGAGCGGATACGTACTTGCGCCCATGAGTAAACAACACGGCCACTGGTGCACGTCGTGACATTGACGGTCGTCGGGGCTCTTGCCTGCACTCAAGAACAAGGCACACACACATCCATGTACGGATGTGTGAGTTTGTGTGAGTGCATCCCCTCCCTCTCAGCCTTGACCTCCTCCGCCAGCGAAGCAATGGTGGAAGACACCTACCTTCGTTCTTGTCGCTGGGGGTGTGTCGTTGTCCACCCCTCCTTTCTTCCCGCCTACTGTCAGAATCCGGGTGAGCTGAGCTGCTTCTTCCACAGAGACTTCTGCTGCAGGGCGGTCCTGTGCATCTTCTTCTCGGCTGCGTACAACCGACCTGAACGACGGACACAACAAGCGACAATGCAATGGACAGATGGCCTGAGGTGTGGTGGTGTTCGCCTCTCTGATGCCGCAGCGTTCTCCCGGTTCATTCCTTCACTCATCGCCCACCACATACAGACGACCCAGGGTCAAACCGAGGGGGGTCTGTATGTGGTGGGCGATGAGTGAAGGAATGAACCGGGAGAACGCTGCGGCATCAGAGAGGCGAACACCACCACACCTCAGGCCATCTGTCCATTGCATTGTCGCTTGTTGTGTCCGTCGTTCAGGTCGGTTGTACGCAGCCGAGAAGAAGATGCACAGGACCGCCCTGCAG